CTTTTCTTGACCCGAGAATTGAATCCGAGATCCTCTTACTTCGCAATCACGCTTGCAACCAATCAATGAACGACACACCAATAATAACACACTACAAAAAATATAAAGAAGTACAACTTACTTGCATCAAGGTAGCCGCAGCCATACTGTTCGCGTACTCATATTTCTGCTTATGGAAGTTAGCAAGTTCCGAGTAATAGTTAGCAACCTGAGGCATGGCACGACGAATGTATTCTTGAGCCTTCTGGTAATTTCTGCAATGGATACGTAATAAGCAATTAATAAATTGATACTTATCTGATAAAACGTAAATACAATACAGAGATAATGCGTCGTAGTAATCTACATTTGTATTTAATGATATCTACCTATATCTTATGTGGAACGGCTATGCAAATCCAATATTTTATTGATATGACGGATTCCCCAATAATTTCAAGGAAATACTACTAGATGATAATATGTGAATGACAAGGAAGGCTTCGCCTACATGGTCAAAAGAAAATAAAGTAGTCGCTATCTTGCTTGCCAACCAGTAACTTTAGTTATAGCTTTCAAGCGATATATTAATTGTTTTTTCCGGCTTACTCGATAAGTTTCAAGCCATACTAGAGGCTCATATTTATGAGCAGCATTCCTCGACACACGAGTGCGAGTGCCTCGTCCAATAATTACGTGAGTAAGCCGAAAAACATCATAACTAATTCAGTAATTTTAGAACAACGGCTCCGTGGCCACGTGAACAAAGACAAACGTACAAATTTTCATATTTTAAAAACCTTATCAACCTTTACCAGTTGTATTAGCAGTTATCTGTAGAACACTAGCTATTTTAGCGCGGTTTCACTAGCTCTGCTGCCTGTTAATCGTAGCGTGATATTTTATAGTCTATAGCGTTCCTCGATAAACGGGCTATCCAACATAGAAAGAATTTTTCAAATCCGACCAGTAGTTTCTGAATAAGGGGCGCGAGTTCGAAACCCACCACCACTGACAAACAATGAAGGAAAACATCGCGAAGAAACCTAGACATATAATTTCTAATCATAAGTTTGAAATCGCCAACCTGCATTGAGCAAGCGTAGTGATTACTGGTCAAACCTTCTCCATGTGAGAAGTGGCCACTTATGGGCTGTTGATGAGGATGATATTTAATTATTAAATAAGTGTTAACTTGTTACGTAGCATAACAATCGACATTTCAATATAGATGAGTAATTATGTACTTTAATTACGTCATTAGTATTCATTAGTCATTACTTAATTTAAGTATAACAATAATAATAATCCAGCTTTTCACCTATTATATTATAATTCCTATATCTAGACGATGCGCATGAGCAATATGAGCACATTGCCATATAGAATACAATGTCTAACTATGGAATCAAACCCGATTCTCCTAAATTGCACTTAGGAGTTACACTCGACTAAAGAAGTAGTTAAAAATAATTCAATAATAATAATAATTACGTTAACAAAAAAAAGAACCTAAATAAAAAAATCCACAAAAACATCCAAAGAGCAAACTGATTTCGACACGTAAAACAGAACACATGTTTTGTTTATTTATACAGTTGTAGATAAAAAGAGTTTATTTTTAATTATGTAACACAAATATATAATAACCTCTAGCCTATTAACTCGTCGAGTACCGGTTTTGTAGACACAATTATAGAACAATAGGTTGCGGTCACCGGTGACCGCTTGGTGTTTGACAGTTTAAATACCGAGTAAAAACGTACCTATCTATAATCAATCCATATAATATTACAAATGCGAAAGTATGTGTGTCTATTTATTTATCCTACTTTCACGGCAAAACGGAACGACGAATTGACCTGCTTTTGTAAGGGACGATAGTTCAAGGAATGGAAAGTGACATAGGCTACTTTTTGTCTCTTTATAAGCGTTCGCTTCCCTAAAATGGGGGGTGGAAGTTTGTATGGGTCGTTCCGCAATTTTCAAGGATGATGTCTAAAAAGTGGTATGCGGACTATTTGTGACTAACAATAAAATACTGCATATTTTTTTTTTTTGTAAATCTAAACCAACCGCTTAATAAGCGCGAAGCCGCGAGCGAAAACCTAGTAAAGGAGATAAAATATATACTGGTACACAGTTATTTCTGATTATCATGATCAAGATTTGACTTCACATATGTACGTTTTGTATATCTAGAACACAATCTCATTGTAACAAAATCAGATTATGAATTATGCAATTTTGAACCTTAGAAACACAACTTCAGACTGATAAATAACACAATGCAGTATTGAATATTGCATACCAGAAAATCATAAGGGGACAAAGGTTTTAAAAGTATGTACACAAAGGAAGTTCAATCTCAAAATAATGATCTCTTTCAAACTTATTTTGTTGAAGCTAAACAAAGAATTAACTTATTGTATTCCGTATTTGCATTACTGGAAAGATTGCAAATCAAAATACAATACATAATAAATACATTGTGTTGCATTATGTAGGTACAAATTATACACTCTTGATCTGATTTTTACGCTTGTTATTGTATGACAAAGTTGTATATAACATATTATGTCATCCATATAATAATATGTAACTTATTTACTGTACCTATTATAATATATTCATGTAAATAAAACACTTCACACAGACTGGTAGACACTACACACACTATTGCGTCTGTAGAGGGAGATTAGGGGATTCCCAACCTTAGTTATCTTGTGAGAAAGGGTATTTTCGATGTTGCCAATTATTATGAATGCACGAATGGTGGGTAAAGTAAAAATGTACTTACAGGTTACGCCGAGCAAGATGGTTGTCAGCTTGTTCGCGATATGCGTCCACCGTAGCCATGTCGACTTTTTGACCTTTGCTCAGCAGTGGCCACTCCGTCTCCGATAGTTCCTAAAAAGATTTCATAATTTATTAGTATCGTGTCTTAGATAATTCTTTTGAAGTTGGACTAATAGCGTAACTAAAGAACTTTGTAATTAACTATAGCAGTCTCACCATGATTGTAAAAAAAAATATGTGTGTAACTGTATAATAATACAAGTAAGTTCGAAGTGCACAATCAGGAAACAACTGTGTCGTAAATTTAAAATTGAACCCTATTTTAATAAACTTCAAAGTCTGGTATACAAAAACACCGCTATAATAGACGCGATATACGTAAATACGTAGTAGCACTATGACTCAACAATGCTAAGTAAAGATAAAGTTGTTTTCTTCAATAAAATAATTATTATTTCTCATACCTTCTTCTGTTCCTCTAAAATCTTGTCCTTGACCTTCATTTCTTCTGCCATCACGAATTTATTGATGCCGTTCTTTTGTTCCAAAACGTCACTCCGACCGGTGGATGAGAGCAATACCTGTGGAGAAACATGATATTTAAGTACATATGTCGGCAATTAAATAAATCATTCTTAATTGCATGTAATTAGTATCTTTTTACCTCGACAGTAGCATTAAAGTTGTTATCGTGAGCCATGAGCAGTTCAGTAAGCGTATCCTGACTAACTTCTGGGAACAAGTTGAAGAGTTTATCTCTAGTCATCTTAGCCGCCAAATCTGTTGGCATGTTATTGCGCCATTCACCCACATCCTTCTGATAGATGGCCAGTGCCATATCCATATCCATTATTTCTTTGAAGTCTGGTACATCTGGTTCCTTACCGGCGAGAGACATTTCTGTTTCCTTCAACTCTAGTTGTCTAAAAAAGAAAAACATAATGAAATAAGAGCTATAGGTATAGGGAAATTATTAGGTCAAAATGGCGGTCCCGGGAATCGAACCCGAAATTCCTTGCTTGTCCCTTGACGTTTTCTTTCCATTAATGAAATACAACAATTTTCAAATACATTAATAATATAAAAAAGTAAGGTGTTTACCTTGCAAAGTCTTCATCTTGTTGCATCATAGCTGCAGCCTGGTTCGCGTGCTCATCTAACTGAAATGTTAACGATTCCATCCATAAGGCACTGACTTCATTCAATAACGACATCGGTACACTAATCCTTGGCACTATGAAGGATGGATATTCAATACCCTTCCTGCCTAGTTTTTCATCTAATTCTTCTATGAAAGGGTGGCCCACATTAAAAGTGACTATTACATCATCATCAACACCACTTACACTAGACTCAGAAGAGCTATTCTCGTCATCACTAACTTCCATATCTACAGAGTTAGAACTATCAGAAAGCGTAGCTTGTGAGAGCGCAGCAGCTCCAAGTTCTTCACCATACTCGTTCACATCTGGTTCTCCGCGACGTATCTTCCGTATTTTCAGGCAGTGTTTCGAATAGTGGTTGTCAGCTATGACTACATTCTGTTCTATTTGCCTTTTGATTTGAATATTTTCATCTGACATGACAATGTCACGCTTCCTTTCCTTCTTTTGTGCTTGAGACCTTGAGTTTATCACTTCTGTTACCTTATCTTTTTTTTCTTCGATAGGGGTTTGTTTTGCACTGGTTGTAGCTATATTTGGTATAATATTATAATGAGCCAGGCATGAGCACGGTTCTGAACTTTCTTCTTCATCGTCTGACAGTTCTTCAATGTCCACTATTTTTAACTGATTATTATTCATTCCGTCGAGAACGATATCCACACTCCAGTTTACATCACCGCGACATTTGTCGAAGATATCCCTTAAATCGGAGCGAGCAATATTCCTGAACATCTTTCTAAGCGAAATAAAATGCTGTTCTGTATTTGGACAAACATAATCATCATTTTCTAATAGCATTACCTCGTTAGTCATGCTACTTTTATCTAGCATGAACTTTTCTGGTATCTTTTCACGGCGGAATGAAACGTGAAGGTGGTTTATGTTACGAGGAGTAGCACTGATGACCTTGTATTTTCCGTTGACATCTGTATCCCCGATTTCCACACAGGTTTCCGAAGATGAAGTTTCAACTGGTACGTCGTAAGGTACAGTAATATTTGGTACGGCGGTAGCTGAGTCACCCCAAGACGGCATAAATAACGATATTTTGCTCCAGTCTTGACAACCGCTAACGTTTTGCATAAGGGTTTCCGCAGATTCTTGTAGAGCTTCTGATGAAGTACGAGGTTTTCTTTGAGGTTTTGCTTCTGGTATCGATGTAGCAGAGGTATTATTTTTGTCAGTTTGTTTTGAAGATTGCTCTTCAACTTCCCAATTATCACCATTTTCCCATTCTATTTCTGCTTTCTGAATTTCCTCGAGTTCTTTTTCTCGGGCATCGAAGGGGTCGTCTACCATTTCTTGGGTCCGCGGAGTGATGTGAACACCTGAAAAATTCGGAGTCTCGTTTTGGGAGGCTTCCTGCTGCACGGTATCATTATCAACAATCTGTTGGTTCGTCTTTTCCATATCACTCACCGACGACGCTGATGAACGAAAAAATTGTTTGTTTGGATTTGTTTCAGCAGCAGAAGTAGTGGCTGTTGCAGGTTCAATAGTGGTGGCGGTAGTGTCTTGTTGAACATTTTCCTTCTTTGTAACACAAGGAATATTACGCTGCACAGGAGGAACCATACTTCTAGGATAAGACAAACCAAATGCATTCTTCAAAATTTCGCCAGTTACACCCTCGCGGTAATTTTCTAGCATTCTTTTTATGGTAACTAATGGCACATTGTGGACATTCTTTCTTAGAAGTATATTAGCTTTTTTAGCCCAAGGTGTTGTTGGTTCCACTACTTCAATAATGTAACCATTCTTAACACCCTCTCTTAAATAAGGCTCCATTTCCCATAATTCAATATTAGTATTATCTATTATAACAGGACTCATTCCCATTCTCAACACATTTCGAGCCCTTTGTTGATTCCATGTGTGTGCTTCTGATAATCTAAACTTATCATATTGATATTGACCCCTGATCATGAAGTAGTCATCTGTTGTTAATATATGAGCTCTATAATTGTTATGACTGCCGCCAACCATCATATCTACTAATTTTCGAGCCAAATATGATTTACCACTCCCTGGAACACCTCTCATAAGAATCAGTATTCTGCTACCTTGATTGTGGTTGCATATTATGTTTCTAATTTGCTCAGTCCAAGTGGAATCTATTTGCGGGGTTGGAGCATTATGACTTTTTGGTATAGTACCAGTGTTTGAAATAGGTTTTGCTGAAGAAATTGTTGCATATGAAGATGAAGGTTGGGTTAGTTGCGTTGATTGTGGTTGAGTTTCTACTGGTTCGGCAATTCCTGGTTGCATCACTGCTGCTTGCTTTACTTTTGGCTGAGTGACCACTGGTATATGACAAGCAACATTTTGATTTACAGCTGGCTGCTCCTCATCTAACATTACATTGCCATCGTTAGTAATGTTCATTATGGCGTCCACCGAAAGGTTCACTACGAGAAAGAAATAATAAAAATAGTTAGAACTACAATTCAAATAATGCTTAAATGAGGTACTTGTATCAAAAGCCTTTGTGTCCACTAGTAGCAATTCATCACAGTAAAAAGTAGCAGCACTTCCTTCATAAATTGTTACTTTTTTGTATATTAATTGTTAAAAAAACTTAAAATTAACTAATAATTAAAACTAAAACACAAGTATACTGAGATATGAAAGAGAATAGTAACTATTTCCGGTACACAATAAAACATACTTCGGTATTAAAACAATATGAAAAAAGCAACTATTTAATAAAAATGATTCTTTCCATACAATATTAGGTATTTGATAAAACAATTTCTAACTAGGTAGTTACTTTAGGGAGAATTCAGTCATTTCAGTCCAATGAATAATCTTGATCGATCCACTATGCATTTATAGACTAATGCCATATCCTATTCATATGATCATAAATGTACCTAAAGTTAAAAATTTAAGCAATTTAAAAATAACGTAATAACAACAATTATCAACCTAATTTATTACCAGTTACCATTGAATAACCAACTACAACTAGCTATTGATAAAAACTATGATTAACTAGTCCTACAAAGCCACTTTTGAAATACAATTATAAAGAGGTAGTATTAATATGACTTAATATTGGCAAGTTTTAAAATAAACTATTCTATTTCTCAAGTCAAGCTTCTTTATGTGCATATAATGGCACCAAGCCTTGATAAGTTAACAAAGGAAAGTATTGAGGACAGTCCATCCGGGATGGTCCGTCAACTATAAGTAGACCAATTTAAAGTGCAGCACATCCTTTAAGATTTATATCAAAGAAAAACAGTCTCAATTGCAATTCGCAATAGAATCAATTTGCTTTAGCACAACACAATCTTTATATTAATATCTGGCAGTGGCAGCAAATAAGGAAATAAAAGCTATTGTAGACCGATTAAAGCACTTACTGCCTAGAGAATTAATAAACTAGTGTAGGTAGCTAATTTCCATATTTCTAAATACCCAATATGTACTGATAAAATAAGTTAAATATCAATTTAAATTGAGTAAGTTTCTTTACAAATAGAAATAATTTTTCAATGAGATCTACACAAGACAACTGTTAGTGTGAAAATCCCACAAAGTTTAAAAGTCATTAATATCTTGATTAATTGCCATTTCATACCAAAAAAAAATCTCACAAAGTTTTAAAAGTCTAATATCTTGATTAATTCCCATTTTATAATTAGACAAAAAAACCCCACGAAATTTAAAAATCATTAATACCATGATCAATTCCCATTTCATAATTATTAGAAAAAAAACCCCACAAAGTTTGAAACTCATTAAAACCAAAGCAAGCATACCCGTATCATAATTAGAAAAATACCACAAAAATTAAAACGACATGAAAATCTTTCATCACCCATTACTTACTTAATTATATGGAAAAAGCCCACAAAGTTCAAAAAGTCTTTAAAAACTTCATCTATAACTATTTTATAATATGGAAAAAAGCCACAAAATAACATTCATCCCTTAACAAACATGTCGGTCAATGGTCAGTATTTCATTTCAAAAAGAGTATTGTACTGAATAAAATATAAAAGTACAGATGGTCTTTATTGATTACCCCACATAAAGTTCCCCTTTCATTCAAACAAAGCAACCCTACAGATTCATCTTTTATGCACGGGTATTGATGCAGTTCAATTATACAAATATAGCTACGGCTATTCAATACAACGTACCAGACGGAGGGGGAAGACGGAGAACACGGTAAGTGAGGGACGCTGTCCTTCAAATACTCGTGCCCCCCTTCCTCATACCACTATGTTGTTACATAATAAATTAAATCAATAATAAACTACTTAAAAACACCATACATTTCTGTAATTTGTTATGATGATGATGTCTATAGCCACTTTTAATAAGCTTAGAACTTATTTTAGAGTTCTTTCATAACAATAACAACAACAGTTAGATATCAACAAAAACAATAATATTGTCGAAGTGTAACAACACTAAACTTACAGTCAAAATTCAATGTTTATGTATTAAACCAAAATATATAGTTACCGAATTGACCATTGCGACAGATGTCCTTACTGCTAGACCCTCTGAGATGGACTGAACCATAATAATGTACTGTGGACTGAACTCTCCCCTCTCTTAGGATCAACGATATGTCGAACTATCTAGATCGTCATCCTTGTTCGCGTATTAGCGTCCTATAACATGTCCTATCTACTCATATGCAGCATAGGTAGCATGTATTTACCGATACGATAACATAGGAACTGATCATAGTGCTTTAATAATTTAGTGCGCCATAAAGCCATAGTGAAGGTACGCGGTTGCATTTCACTGTAATCAACTATAGTTACTACTGGACACAAGTATAAGCTATTGATTTGGGTACTCACGGTCACCGTCGCAGCTTTCCACAACGGCAGATATGACATCTTTACTCATCACCTTACCGAACATATTCATCAAATTATCAACAACATCAGAAATGTTACTTTCTTCGTTATTGCGGGCATCCATGATTACGCCGCTTTATCAATCACAAATAAAAGAAAATAAGATAAAACAATCACCTTGATTAACACAATCTATCACTTTCTCGCAACGAGTAAAATAATAAAGAAACAAATAACTTCACATATGAACCCGCGACGTATGTCTATCTCTGACAGACGATGAACTCCGACTGACGTTTCCAGCCCGCCCGCTCGCCCATATAACCCCGGCAAATCGCATCGCTCATTACGCTAATCACCCAGTATTGCCAAACTCTATTTAAAATGACTAATAATTAACCACATTCTAATCACTAGACATGTACGATTATTACGAAAGTTAATAGATTTTAATTATTTAATCACCGTAATGGCTAAATAGATTTAAACTAATGTTAGTATATGGGTAGATTATAAGTTACAGGCATGGTCTTAACTTTTGATCCTAGAAATAGGTTACTGGGTATCCACAGTGTCAAAGTCAAAGTTAAAGTCAAAGCATTTATTTCAATTAAACCTTAGTTTGGTACTTTTGAAACGTCCACAAATACAAAATAAATAATAGTCTATCAGTCAGTCCGTCAGTGAAATTAGGTGAATTAGGTGTTTAGTTCCCGTAGTACTTAAAGTAAATGTTTAATGACAATTATTTTTATATGTTTTACTATCAATGACTTTGCAAAAGATATGCTTCCTTATAATCAGTAATCTTTACATACTATTACTTGATACACTAAAACTAATGGAAAAAAATAATAAACGTAAACTAAAAATTACTATATACTGAGAGCATAAAAAAATAGTTCTCAGCTTATCAATACTTTGATTTCATGTAGGTACTTGAAATATGTATATTATTATTAGGTACGTATTCTCTAGATTACGATTTTAATTTCGCCAAATTCGGGGAAATGCTTATATGCTTGCAATCCACTTTAAAATATTTTAATACCATAGAGTATATTTTCTTTTTAGGATTATTTTCTGTGGTATATATTTCTATAGTGAGAAGAAGACGTTTCTTTTTGGCTTCATAAAACCCGTTTATGGCTGTGGTTCAAGGGAATTAAACTCACATGTACCGTAAATAACGGTAAATACCCAACATAGACTATAAAAACACCACTAAAATTCACACATGGGTACTTTAGGTTTAATATAGCATCCTCGCTTTGTATAGAGTTAACTATCCTTTTTAACCGACTCCAAAAACAGAAGGATCTCAGTTCGACTTATATGCATGTGTACGTTTGTACCCAATCATCTCACTATTGGCTGAGCCAATTTTGATATAGTTTTCAGAAAAGTGTTTGTTTTATTTTGAAACAATATGTTTTATTAAATTAACCAACTTTATATCAATCCACTTCGAGGTTGAAGTCGGCTTTTTAAACGTAGCTTATTGCAAGCTTGCTAAGCATAAATAAAATTATTTTACGTGATATATTCAACTTTATTTGAACTAATAGAGAATTGTAAAATACTTAATTCTGCCTTCCATGTCAGTAGAAATCAAATCCTGTATGAGTGAGGTGACGAGGGAGGCTAAATCGGCTAATTCGAACACTACAATTGCATCACTGCGAAGACTGCTCAGAGGACACGGTGGAGCATACAGTGGCGGTGTGCCCTGCGTGGGCTGAGCACCGCCGTGTCTTCAGGAATGTGGTCGGCGGCGGCGACCGAGGGGTCCCTGGATTAAGCGGATTAATACGGCCTAGTACGAAGTGAGGAGGACTGGGATGCCGTCTTCTTCTTCTGCATAGCAGTCATGCTAGCTAAGGAGGAAGTGGGGCGCGGGAACCCCGAATCCCAAATAATTCTTAAATTCCTAATCCCTAATAAAAAAAATTAATACAAAAGTAAAAGTCTTTAAATATTGGAAATACGGTCTATAACCAAGGTTTGTGATTGAGGACACCGGTATCCTTTTAGCTTAACTCAGGCCGAGCCGACCCATTCGTGTCGAAGCGTGACTCTCCCACACTTACGTCTTGAAAAAATATCAAATAGTGCAAAATTACAGTTCACAGGCGGCGGTGGAAGTGGAAGGTCAAAGGGAAGAGATGTGCTGAGTGAAGCAAAATCAGTACCTAATCTCCGAGAGTTTTCTGCCTGGACAATGACGTTGCAGTAAATCTGATGTCCACTACTAAGGTGACTGATGTATTAGCCGTTGATAATGATGCTGAATCCCAGAGGTTTGACCGTCTTCCATTCCAACGCAGTATTGCTGCCATGTCGTCCTGCTCAAATCTTGTCCGTGTGAGAAGAGGCTTTCGCTCAGCAGTGAGCAGTGGGCGTATAAATTTAGGCTGTCAATGTATGATTTGTGAAAAATTTTGATAAATTAGACTGCCTTGCTGGCCGAGTGATCATAAGTGCGACTGTCGGGCAAGGGTCTCGGGTACGATTCCCGGGTCGGACAAAGTACTACTGGGTTTAAAAAATTCTTAGTAGTAGCACGGAGTCTGAAATTGTGCCCGGTATATGGCAATAGGTTCACCCTTTATTACATGGGGGTCATTATATAAATAGTGAAAAATGGGTGTCACTATGTACAGTGGCATTAAATTCCGTAATGTTCACCTCTGCCGACCCCTTTGGGATAAAAGGCGTGAAGCACGTTATATGTGTGCAAACACAAATAAATTATACATGCATTTACGGTCAAAAACAAGTTAAAAAGAGAAACCTTTATTTTAAATCGATTAAAATCTACAGGTTTGCTGTTTGAGCTATGTTTCCCTGTCTATGGTTTTCATAAATCTGAATGATTGTCTGTGAGTCTGTTGGAGTCTGTGACATCTTTGACTTTCGAAATCGTAATTTTGTATTGTTGACAGTTGTTGTCATTGTCAGTTTGTGACATCACAAAAAAGAAGCATCTGAGCATTTTTTTTTCCACCAAAAATACCACAAAATAGTTCATTTCGGGTACCTCTACTTAATTTTCTCGTCACTGCTGTGTAAAATGTTATAGTGCATCAAACTTGGTGTTAATACAATATCTATTGAAGGGTCACGTATGGTAAAATAATTAAAAATGGGTGACAACTTCCAAAATAAGACCATGGCACCGGTCATGATGGATTACGATTTTAAGGTGAAGACTCAGAACGAACGTTCTAAAGTGGAGGATCTTTTTGACTTCGAAGGATGTAAAGTTGGCCGTGGAACGTACGGTCACGTGTATAAGGCTAGACGAAAAGATGGCTCAGATACAAAGGATTATGCTTTGAAGCAAATCGAAGGGACTGGGCTATCTATGTCAGCTTGCAGGGAAATTGCGGTGAGTATGAATGCTTGACATACTATTACAATTACGTAAAGAATTTAGAGGTTGTGATTGACGTGTGGTATTTTTTACAGTTACTCCGGGAACTGAAACATCCAAATGTGATAAACCTCATTCGTGTTTTCCTTTCGCACACTGATCGAAAGGTGTGGCTGCTATTTGATTACGCCGAACATGATTTATGGCATATAATCAAGTTCCATAGAGCAGCGAAAGCTAATAAGAAGTCCGTAATGGTACCTAAAGGTATGGTGAAGAGTCTTCTTTATCAGATATTGGATGGCATACACTATTTGCATTCCAATTGGGTATTGCATAGAGATTTGGTAAGTACTTATCTGTTCATCCATCTTAACATGTATTTAAAATTTACCTGTAATTATAAAATATTTAATCTGTCAATGTTTAGTAACTAGCTTTTGCCCGCAGCTTCGATTGCGTTAAATTTGGAGTTATTATACATAAAACCTTCTTTTCGAATCACTCATATCTCATCATAATCTGTTGCATAATTTTAAAGATTGAAGCATATAGACATACCAACTGCGGTTTGTTTTATACTGTGATGTAGTGATACTTAGTATAAGTATATGTATAAATAATAGTAATAATACATGTACAGTAGCATTCTTTCACTCATATTAATGGTTCTTTTCAGAAACCAGCTAACATTCTGGTAATGGGTGAAGGTCCGGAGAGAGGCCGGGTTAAAATTGCAGATATGGGTTTTGCTAGACTGTTTAATGCTCCATTGAAGCCTTTAGCTGACTTGGATCCTGTGGTGGTCACATTCTGGTACAGAGCTCCTGAATTATTGCTTGGGGCTAGACATTATACTAAGGCAATCGGTATGGACCTTTGAGACTTTTTTAAAAATACTATACAGGCAGTAAATGGAATGCTCCCAATAAACACTGACAGGTGACGATTAAAAACAAGTTTTATTTTCATGACAGTAAGGAATCAAATGTTTCTTTCATGTAATAATAGTTGTACCTCCTCAACTGCTCAAAGCTGATGTTGTATGAATAACATGAAAACAAAAATAATTAAAATTTCTTTTTGTCAGCATTCTATAGCATTCCATTTACACCCTGTATTATTGAAAATTCTTAGTAATGACATTGATTTCAGTGTAGGTAGCCTCCACTCATGTAGTATGAGACTTTAATCGTAGCTGGATTTGATTCTCTATCTCTCCTAAACAACAAATAATGTTTGTTGTAAATGAATGTACATTAGATGATATTTGTTTTGTTATTATCTTTTTGTTGTTGTTTTTAATAGTTATTATAATAGAAACAAAACAAAGTATTTAAATCCTTTCATAGTTTTATGTTTGGTCTAAATAAGTAAGGTAATTAGGCTTTTAATTATCACACAAATTATTAAAAATGTATATATTAGTTTGCTTACATCCAAATTCTGAAAGGCTATACAATTTTTAATTTTACTTAAATATTGTGACATCTCTGTCATTTTACGAAGAACTTTGAAATGATAAAACAATTCTTAAGCATAACGTAACTCGTAAATGTCTGATTATGAGAAATCCACAACATTTGTTCATACAAAACTAGTCTATAAACATCGGAAATAAAGTCTATAATGGTGTAAATAAGAGGTGACTGCTTCGATCTTGACCAGTAATTGATTAGCGTTTGAGTATTTCGACATTATGTAGTTGGTTATGAGGAAAAACAAATATTACAATTTCACAAATGGTTAAACTGTTAAAAATAAGTCTGTTGTAACATTTTATTTTCTTAAATTCCAGACATATGGGCGATTGGGTGTATATTTGCGGAGCTGCTTACATCCGAGCCTATATTCCATTGTCGACAAGAGGATATTAAAACCAGCAATCCATACCACCACGACCAACTGGACAGGATATTTAATGTAATGGGATTCCCACAGGAAAAAGACTGGGAAGATATTAGAAAAATGCCTGAACATGCTACATTAGTTAAAGATTTTAAAAGATCCAAGTAAGTTGTTGTATTTTTGTTGTATTGTGTATGTATTTTAAGAGATTGCTCTTCGATTTTTTCTATTGTGACATATATGGCAGCAGGTCTGTTTTACCTTTTGGTGGATTATTTTATTTGTCACTTATTAGTCTGAAAATGTCATTGGGAGGCTCAAGACATTCGCTTCTGATGTATGAGGGCGCGGGTTCGGAACCTACCAATGGGTAGTACTAATGTGACTTTTTCTGAGTTACATGTACTTTCTAAGATTTTTAGATACCACTGATAAACGGTGAAGGAAAGCATCGTAAGGAAACCTGGGCTTATAATCTGTAATTCTAAGTTTGAAATCGCCAAGCCGCCTCGAGGAAGCGTGGTGATTAATTCTTCTATCTTTTTCCGTGTGGCCTATAGGCTGTTGATGATGGTGATGATTAGTCTGAACTTTTTAGGTGCATATTATGTTTTAGTCTTGATTAACTTGTAAAAGTTCTGTACGGTATTATTGTTGCTGTTTTTGTGGGGATAAGCCGGTAAACGATCGGACGGATCACCTGATGGTAAGCAATCAGCACCGCCTATGTACACGTGAGACACCAGAGGCGTTACAAGTGAGTTGCCGGCCTTTTGGGAATTGTGAATTTGAGGACTGTGCGGGGTTCGGGGATTGGGGAGACTGGAAAAAGAGCCTCACTCACACGACAAAGCACAACGCAAGCATTGTTTCACGTCGGTTTTTTGCTCGGCCGTGATATCACTCCGGTCGAGCCGGCCCATTCGAAGCATGCCTCTGCTACATTTTAATGATGATGATAATAATTAAATGATGTACATTCATAATAACTTTTTTAAATGCTGCCCTATTTACTTCTTGCACAAAATAAAGACTTGTTGAAAAGTGTTCTGTTGGCTAACTTTCCTCCACATAGTTCATCTTGAAACAGATTCACAATGATTAATACCTATAATGTTAATTATATTTATTACAGCTACCAAAACTGTTCACTAAGCAAATACATGGACAGGCATAAAATAAAACCAGATAGCAAGGCTTTTAGTTTACTGCAAAGACTTTTGCTAATGGATCCTAATAGGAGAATAACATCGGAACAGGCTATGCAAGACCCATACTTTGCCGAAGACCCCTTGCCCACACAGGTAAATATCCTTTCATCCATATTTATATATAAATGTGGTGTTAGTTACACTATTTATAAATCACGAACGATTAAACTGTCAAACACCAAGCGGTCACCGGTGACCACAACCTATTGTTCTATAATTGTGTCTACAAAACCGGTACTCGACGAGTTAAATGAAAATTGGTGGGATGTAGCTTAGAGCCAGGAGATGAATATAGGATACTTTTTATCCAAGGATTTTTAAATCCTACGGGTACGGGAAAATACGGGATTGTGCGTATGAACCACCCTTAGATCATCTCTTAACTAAAAGTTACTTAGCGCTACATAGCACCTAAACTAACAATTACTTGTACTGTTAAGTGACACTTATAGGTTGGTGAAAACAAAACCTTGTTAAATGTCACCAGTATCTTAGCTTAGGAGTTTCTTAGGAGAGCTTGGTGAAAAAACGCATAAGTCTTCTTTCGCATTTTATGTCTGATTGTCTATACGATCACGAATACTTAAAAAGGAATGAATTATTGCTCGTGGTTTGTATTCGTAGGATTATGTATGTAAGACTAGCTACTTCCGCGCGGTTTCCGGTTTCACACGCTCTGCTTAGCTCCTATTGGTCGTAGCGTAGTTTTATAGCCTATAGCCATCCTCGATAAATGCGCTATCCAACACAAAAAGAATTATTCAAATCAGACTTGTAGTTACAGAGATAAGCGCGTTCAAACAAAAAAACAAACTCTTACGCTTTATATAATAGTATAAGATTTGTGCAATTGTGTTTTTATATAGAATCATTAGCAAAGGTTGTGATTTGATTGTTATGTTCTAACTTAGAACCGTTGTCAGAGATTGTGGTTTAGTTTTGTTGAAATATTTGCATGCCCAGTTTATAGGCGGGATATGATGAACTATTGTTATGCTATAAAATCTATAAACCACCATATTTCAGGCAAATAAATGAATCTATCTATCTATCTATCTATTAAAAAAAAGTGTATGTTAAAATAACTTTATGATTAATCTATTGCTAATAGGTTTCAATCGCCTAATGAAATTAACTCAACTCAAATTGATGTAATTAATTTCTTACTTACTATTATTTTAAGTAAATCAATTCTGACATAACATATATAATTAGTTACTCAATCCAGGTCATTATAACTCATTAGCATTAATAATTCACATGGGATTTTGTGACACAAAACAATGTAAAATATGGTTTGTTAATGGCTATTAAGTTCATTAGTAGTGATTAAATAATGATATGATCACGTATTTATAATCCACTAATCGTATAGAAGTTTATCCTTATTTAGTTTGTAATGCAACTACGTTTTAACAAATGACTAATATGCAAATAGTTGTTGCGAAATTGAGGGTGGTGTTTCAAGAGGCCCAGCGCAAACCGGCGCAGGTGCGGCAATACTTAGAATATATCAATTTAAAATATATCTAAACTACTTCAGCATACGGATGAAAACGGCATGTAAAGGATCAATTTTAGTTGGACGTGCGTGGTCATGCGTTTCATTTCAAGTTTCTTTGATATATTTTTAAGGGGGGAAAATCATTGAATGACTTCTCTGGCCTGGATAGGGCCGGGAGTGTCAGATTCTTACTGACTAAAAACTACCCTGTTTCCGGAGCCCCGGTAACCTTTTACGTTCTGTCCTATTGGGCCCCATCCGTGGTGGCCTGATGACTATTTGTCGGTTTGCGCTGGGCCTAACAGTTTTGGACAAGAAGTCATTGATTTCTGTCGATAAATAATGGCCATTTTATATGCTTACTAGCAGCCCGTCCCGGCTTCGCAAGGGGTAGACAATTATGTTACTTTTGGAAATTTGGATTGTTGTAGTGACATAACTACAATAGTTGGACATTATGCTACCGTGGAGTTTTTTGTAGACATTATGATGTTCTTCAATATTGTTGTACATTATTTTGTTCTATTGCTAATAGTTTCGGCAGCGCATTTTAACTCGTCGAGTACCGGTTTTGCAGACACAATTATAGAACAATAGGTTGCGGTCACCGGTGACCGCTTGGTATTTGACAGTTTAAGACTTATTTTTCTACACCTTCGGTTACATTGTTCAAATTTTACTAAGGATCTCTAATTTTTTTCAAAATGAAATGAAACCTTTGTCAAATTGGAAGAATGTAGCATTCTATTGGTGAAAGAATTTTTTAAATCGGCCCAGTACTTTTTGAGCCTATTCATTACAAACATACAAAAATAGGTACAAATCTTTCCTCTTTATTATATTTATATGCTTATTCGCTGGGTTGTTGGAATGAAGGTCTAAAAGACACGATTCACGATGTATTTCGCTATATAAACATGCTACAAACAAACAAACTTTTGCATTTATAATATTATAATACATAACATAATATCACGCCTTTTTATCTCCGAGGGTAGGCAGAGGTATATTACGGCACTTTATGCCACTGTACAATGTAACACCCACTTTTCACTACTTATGTTATGAGTCCTATGTTTTTTTTTTTTTTTTTTTTTGGAATAGGGGGCAAACGAGCAGACGGATCACCTGATGGTAAGCGATCAGCGCCGCCCATGGACACCCGCAACACCAGAAGAGTCACAGGTGCGTTGCCGGCCCTTTAAAAAGGAGTACGCTCTTCTCTTGAAGGTTTGAAGGTCGTATCGGTTCGGAAATACCGCCGACGACAGATCATTCCACAGTTTTGCTGTGCGAGGCAGGAAGCTACGTGAGAACCGCACAGTTGTGGCCTGCCAACCATCTATATGATGGGGATGCATATGCTGTCGTGAGGGTCGATGGCGAAAAGATGCGGCAGGTATCAGGTCAAACAATTCCTCAGAGCACTCCCCGTGGTATAAGCGGTAGAAAATGCACAATGAAGCTACATCTCTACGCATTGCCAAAGTGTCGAGCCGGTTTGAAACATCCGGACATCCAACAATCCGAACGGCACGCCGCTGAATGCGGTCCAGAGGAAGAAGCTGGTACTGGGGTGCCCCCGCCCAAAGATGAGAACAGTATTCCATGTGGGGCCGCACCTGTGCCTTATATAGAAGCAGGCGGTGGGTCGGGGTGAAATACTGCCTCGATCTATTGAGCACACCAAGCTTCCTCGAGGCTAATTTGGCCTTATCCTCTAAATGACCGCAAAACTGGACGTCGCTCGAAATATTGACACCAAGTATTCCAATACCGGCTGAGGCAGTTAGGGGGGTGCTTTGAAACTGAGGAGAGACGACCAACGGCAGTTTCTTAGCGGTAAACACGCAGACTTGTGTCTTAGTGGGGTTAAATTGGACCAAATTAAGTCCACCCCAATCAGAGATTCTCCCTAAAGAGGTCTCGATTTCAGACACGAGTCTGTTTCGGCTCTCTATGACGTTTTCCCGAGAAATGTTAGCGCGGCCGGTGTAGTAGGCATCGCCTGTGCTGTCATCCGCATAACAATGAATGCCGCTGATTTGCAGCATGTCATTGATATGGAGGAGGAACAATGTAGGCGATAGCACGCAGCCTTGAGGGACGCCTGCATTTACAGACATCAAGTCAGAGCATTCACCGTCGACGACGACTTTAATGCTTCTGTCTGCAAGGAAGTAGGAGACCCATTTGCATAATTTCTCGGGAAGTCCGTAGGAAGGAAGCTTCGAAAGAAGCGCTCTATGCCAAACCCGATCGAAGGCCTTCGCCACGTCTAAACTTACTGCCAACGCTTCCCCCTTAGACTCGATCGCCTGTGCCCACCGATGCGTTAGGTAAACAAGGAGATCACCAGCAGACCGACCTTTACGAAAACCGTATTGCTGGTCACTGAGCAGCTGATGATCCTCTAAGTAACGCAGGAGCTGGCAGTTAATAATGGACTCCATTATTTTCGAGAAGAGGGAAGTTATGGCTATCGGTCTGTAGTTAGACGGGTTAGATCGATCACCTTTTTTAGGGATTGGGTGGACTAAAGCTGTCTTCCAGGACGTCGGAACTACGCCTGAGGAATAAGAGAGCCGAAAAAGACGTGTTAGAACTGGGGCCAACTCGGGGGCGCACATTTTCAAAACAATGGGTGGGATCCCATCAGGCCCGCTCGACTTATGGACGTCAAGGGATAAAAGCGCCAAACGTACCGTGCGCTGGTGGAACCGCACATCCGGCATATACCTTCCGCACCAAGGCACAACAGGAGGCTCGCGCCCACCGTCATCCAGTGTCGAGTTGGATGCAAAGATTTTTGCCAAAAGTTGAGCCTTATCCCTTGCGTTATGAGCCAACGAATCCTCACCCATGTGCAGAGGTGGAAATGACGGCCTGCAGAAATTGCCCTCGATAGCTTTGGCGAGCGACCAGAATGAACGAGTTCCTGAAGGAAGGCGCTCCAGCCTCTCACCAATTCTACCGATGTGCTGCGACTTGGCACCCGCAATAGCTCTTTTGAAGGACTTGGAGGCAAAGTTATACTCCTTTTTTAGTGCACTGGTATTTACATCCCGTGCCACCGCCGCATCGACCCAGGCTTGGTAGGCCCTCTGCTTTCTGCGTGAGGCCTTTCTGGTAGAAGCATCAAACCAGGGTCGATATCTGCCACCGATGGGGACCAGAGAAGATGGGACGAAAAGCTCCATCCCCTGCAGCACCACATCAGCAACAGAATTGGCATGTAATAGGCTATGTAATAGGGGGTGAGCCTATTGCCATATACCGGGCACAATTCCAGGCTCCGTGCTACTACTTTTTTATATATAGAGAACTAGCGACCCGCCCCGGCTTCGCACGGGTGCAATATGCATGTATTATACATACAAACCTTCCTTAAACTGTCAAACACCAAGCGGTCACCGGTGACCGCAACCTATTGTTCTATAATTGTGTCTATAAAACCGGTACTCGAAGAGTTAAGAATCACTCGTATCTATTAAAAAAAACCGCATCAAAATCCGTTGCGTAGTTTTAAAGATCTAAGCATACATACTATTGTTTTATACTATGTATTGATATACATACGATACCTCCACATTCCAAAATAATATTTTTAGACGATTTTTGTCTGTCTGTTTGTTTGAACTGGCTAATCTCTGGAATAGCTGGACCGATTTTGCAAGACTTTTATTAGTTGCTAGATGTACAAAGGAGTAACATAGACTACTTTTACTTTGGAATATTGAAATAAAAAAAAAGTTACGTTCTAAAATAAATAATAAACGCGGACGAAGTGGCAACAGTTAGTAATAAATAAAATGTTTTCTCAAATTCTCAGGACGTATTCGCGGGATGTGCTATTCCTTATCCGAAGAGGGAATTTTTGACTGATGACGATCAAGAAGACAAGAGCGATTCAAAAGCTCGGCAGAATCAGCAGCAGCAACAACCAAATGTGAGTTATATTAACCAATTTCAAAAAAAAGAGGTTCTTCTTCGTCTTAAAATGGTAGAAGGACAAACCAGGCTTACTCTTGAAACTAACCTCAATGTCAATGCAATTTCAATCCAATAAAATCTCAATAATAATTCAATGTCAAAACTATACAACTCCAATCGTAGCTGTTAAAATAGCATTCAGAATACGGAATATAAATTCAAACTCAATACCTTTTAGTTCATTCAAAATTCACGCAATACGGATGCAATGGGCGCTAGTGTTGCAACTTAAGAATACGAAATTTCACAATATCTACCAATGCCGATCGATCGGAATTAAATTCAACAGTAAGCTCCCAGAAGCTGGACTTCTTTATAGTAAGAAATCAACGTCGTCTGTGCACGCTCAAGACACCAGAGGAGGTATAAATGCGTTGCCGGTATTTGTGGCTGGGACGGTTTGGGTCTTTGGTAAGCTCTGAATGAGCTGGACCAGTCGTGCCATAGCGTCGCTCTGCTTCGTAAAAATTGTTCTTCGTGGTTACCGTATGTTAATCGCCTAAGGATTCGTTTATTGCATCGAGACAAAAATGAAGAAAAATCTTTCTAAATGGGATATGCATAATAAAGGAAAATGTTGTTGTCTTTGTTTTTTAAACGTTGCCCCACATTAGGATTTTCTCCTGTGTCGTGGTTGCGTTTACAAACATACAAGTTCACATACACAAGTTTCAAACAGTATCGATTGATATTATATCTAACTTTTAATATCACCAATTTTACAGACACAGCAAAATCAAGTGCAAGCAAACAGTCACGACCACGGAGCCAATAACGCGAAGAGGATGAGAATGTCAGGTATATTATACCGTATGTTATTAGTTTTTATTTTATTTTTATTGTACACATACACACACAGGTAGGCAGTCCATTTGTGTTTAACTTACACTTTCATTGTGTCGTACTAACTGGTATCGTTCATGGTAACATAGATTTTGTTTATCAATCAGTTTAACTCCTCTAGTCACACAATCACTATCCATTATATGGGACTCATAACATTAAAATGGCTTAACAGCCATTTCATCAATCAGAGGTAAACATTATAAATCGTTAGATTTACCTCTGTCATAACGATTTGTAATGTTCACCTCTGTCTACTTTGCGGGGACTAAAATGCGTTTTTTATGTTTGTTTATTTATATGTTAGTCCCCCCTCTTTTACGAACTTCATAAGTTCTATATGTTTAAAAATGTAGCATATCTGTTATCTATAAAGAAAGAAAGAAAGGAAGAAAAATGGTTTATTTGCACACCGTCACAAAGTACGATAACTTAAAAAAGAAAAAATTAAAAACAGCGAAAACGGCGCAAAAAGGCCAAAGCTCAGCTTAAATGCCGTGATCCGAGTGCGCTCGAGTCGAAGCTAGCTAGACTATCTCGTTGATTAAGTGATTGCTAGGTCTCAAATTCTCGGAGCCACGGAGGAGTGCAGGTGTAGGAACGGGGTGGTTTTTAGTCAGTAAGAGTCTGAGAGAAGTCATCGGATGATTTCCCACCTTCAAAAAAAGGTCTCGAATTCCAGCTCGTTGGGAGAAATATTGATGGGATTTTCGAATTCGAAACGTATAAATAGAATCGAGAGGTTATTATCAATAAACTTGCACTTATTAACTGAGGTTATACCAATTTAGTGAAACATGGCGGCGTAAAACAAAGGAGTCATGATAACAACCATACATTGATCCATTAATGAAATAAAACCTCATCCTTTCACAGAATCATAGCCATATTGTTGTGTTTACATAATAATATTGTTTTATTCATTTTCATACATTTCGACCCATTATTTATTATTTTTATGAAAATTATATCTATTTCATTTCCAGGGCCAAATCAAGGCAACAACGCAGGTGGCGGTGGTCAACAGGAGTTCCATCAACAACAACAAATGATGTTTGGCGGCCAACAACAGGGTGGAAGCTCGCAACAACAGGGCAACTTCCAACAAAGGTTCTAATGTATATCATTGTAATTTATACCTTATAGTTTATGTAATATGTTTCAAAATATATTTGAGTAATGTATAATTGTACCTATAGTAGGATTCGAAAATAACGTCGATTTTAAAGACCTGTGTAGGTGAGTCTGGACATCATAACTCTGAAAAAGATAAATGAATTTCGATACAATTTTTATTTCATTTTCAAGTAATCACATAATAAATGTGATAGATTCGTTTAATCGAAGTTGATTGTCCAATAAGTTAATTGTCTTGATATCGTTTGTAGTTTTTGGCGTTAAAAAGTGCCTTGTAAAATAATTACGTAATTTTAATATTTTTACTTTGATTTGTTTATTGTTATTAACTCATAACAGCAGCACAAAAAGAAACTACATATTGTTGTACAACACTGCCTATTCCTTAGGTGAGCAAGCGCGATGTTACTGTCTGACTTTTATTCTATTTCACGACATTTGAACTCCTATACACAGGTCTTTAATGACATTTTAAGAAAATTTATTTGAATATAATAAGAATAAAGGTATTGTTATAATAATTATCTTGATATGTATTGAATTGGTATTATAGGACGGTGTCTTATAATTATAAGAAAAAGTGTTTGTAAAAGACTGACATTAGTGTTTACATCGCCATCGTTTATGTTTCAAACTATGTCATTTTATTGTATGATCAAATCTATGACAAAAGGCAGACGCTAGTCTAATCGAGACCTTATATTTTTTTTTATTAATTTATGTTCATACGGTTTTAAACCAGTTACATTAATCCATGGTATGCCGTAACGTAGACATACGCGAGACACAATTTGTTTTTTTTATTATTGTGCCTGCAGATAAGCGGTTCAGACAGAAAATAACAAATTACTAGAATAAAAAACTGTAAAGAAAAATCTATTTATGGGATTGACGCTAACAAAATTGTGGTAATGTCGGTTGCCATAGCGACTATTGTGGTTTGCCGCGTGATGGCCGCTAGTACGTACGGGGGCTTACGCAACGTACGTAAAGGGGCTTAAAACCGTGCATTGTCATTTCTATTAACTCGTGATATGCCGGAACTCAGATCAACGCGAGACACAATGTTTTCTATTGTATTTTATATATTATCTCATATAATAAATATATATTGTATTCAAAAGGTTAATTCGATTTGATTAGCGTTTATGCATTTTGTCTAAGGAGGCAGTTATTAAATTAATTAAAAACGCGGGGTACTCACGTGAATATACTGAGAAAAGCTCTACTAGTTTCGAACCACAGTGAGCTGCGCGACGTCGCCGCGACCGCGCACGCTGCTCATGAGGAAGAACCCCTCTGTGGTTCGAAACTAGTAGAGCTTTTCTCAGTATATTCACGTGAGTAACCCACGTTTTTACTTAATTTAGTATGTCTCACGATAGTTATTATAAAAACGAGGCAGTTATTATCAAAAAATAAAATGTGTATCGTTTCTGATTCCCATGACAGTCTCATTATCTTCATTGGCCGAGTGGTCGGTATATACGATCTCGGAACGCGAGTTCTCATTTCTGATTGAAAACTATTTTCTCAATTCTCTGTTTTGATATAAATTTTAATGTATCGTAATAGATTCATCAACTTTAACACTTAAGAAAAAATGAATATGTTATCTTGATTGTTCTTTAGAGTACAATTTCTTTAAGCAGTGCTTATTCTTATCATTTTTTTCTATAGAAATGCAGAACCCAATGTAATTTAATTGTATTGATGATCTGAACAGTTTCAGTAATATTTTACAAAATAAATAACGAATATAATGGACGAATCAAAGTTCTTTTAGGATTTGTTTGACCAAAACATTTCGAATAACTACTAATACTGTAAAATGTAAATATTATAATACAATAAGTTGTAATTTTTAATTGTAATAAAACATTTATGAAGTACAAGAAAATGTGTTTAATTTAAACCACAAAAGTAATTGTAAAACGTGTTTATTTAATTAAATAAGTAATATTTATGTACATTTTTATGGACGGAATTAAAAGAAAACATGTCTTACATAAGTAAAAAACGCACTTCTATAATCATTGCCACTTTGAGTGCAGTAAAGGTTTCAATCAAATAACAATTTTATTGTGTTATCAATAAAGTTTCTTTTTCCTAACTCCTTTATGAACAGTCATTTGGAAATCTCGATAAAACTATCAACTTAAACGAATCAGTCGAAATTGCAGTCATATAAGAGGTAAAATTTAAGACAGAAATAGTCTTATGGCCAATTTGAAAAAGCACCTTATTAAAATTGATATAGATACATGTACCATCCATTTTTATTCAACTCATAGGCAGAAAAATAGTACTGTAACCATCTATTAAAAGTAAAAAGTTCAATATCAATCTCAGTAAGTGCCCCCAGTAAATAACATTACCTACTTATATTTTTCCCATTACTTTCCAACTCCATGTAAGGCATAGTTTTAGCCCCAATAGTTTTTTAAGACGTTTGAGTTAAAACTCCCCCATATAATAGTGGCAATTATTATTTTAAGGAATGTAATAATGGTAGTTAATAATGTATGTAATGGCCCCTGGGTGTCTATAAGTGCCACCAAAACTACGACATAAGTTCGCAACATTTTTCACAACAGTTCGATCGAACGGATTTTGGTGTTGCATAGTTCTCACACAATGGAACCAACAAAAATTTGTAACTATAGAATTGTATTGTGAACCCGATTGAAAATAGTAACCTATGGAGTTTCTTGCTCGTTGCTCTCCATAGGAATCTACACCTTGGAATGAGCAAATAGCTTCACTTTAAATTGTTTATTGACGTTCCTGGACTAATTGAAATAAATGATATTGACTTTGACTTTAACACAAAATCTCTTGCATAATTTGATACACACCTAAATTATAACAATTTTATTAACACTAAATTAATAACTTACACTATTGTCATTATATCGATGTTGAGTCGCTTCCATACTCGATTCTAAAATATTTGTTCGTTTACCTACTTAAATGTAAGGGAATCTCAATGAAAGTTAAATATCCTAATCGAGTAAAGAACGTCACATTGCCTTGATAAGCATTCATAAAATTCAGTACTTTCAGAAGCAATGATTTTAAAGTAAGCACTAACAAATGACTTAATCTTTTATCTACATGTTCCCCCCATTCATATCTTCGACCAGGTGGGTAATATACTAAATGTTTGCATCATTTTTCTATAAGTATGTAGGTACTTCTAAATATTTTTCTTTTATTTTAAAGGTGAGACTTCGACGATAGTTTTACCACCGCTGTTGTCGAGGAAATACTGTGCCTTGTTTAATTCTTCTCGCTTCAACTTTGTGTTGGAGTCGACTGTCTTGATTCGTGTGCGCAGCCTGCCACAACGACCGTCCAGGACCTTTTCAAAAGCTGGAAAAGGTAAGAATAAGAAAATTACTATGTCTTTAACTCGTCGAGTACCGGTTTTGTAGACACAATTATAGAACAATAGGTTGCGGTCACCGGTGACCGCTTGGTGTTTGACAGTTTAAATATATTTTTCTAGAATTACCTTCCTACAGTGCAATCGAGTAGGTATCTTATATTGGGTTTTCTATATACCTAATTATTATGTTTTAAATATTATATATTTATTTAAGAGGCTGTAAATGTGTGGCTCGGAATTATACTAGGATGCAGTTCATAATCACCTGTGTAACATTTTATAGCTATATATACCTTGTTAATTAGTAGGTACCTACTTACTCTTTGATATAATATGACTAGGAACATAGTGGTCAAAAGAAAATCGTGAACATCATATTTTTAGTAAAGAAATGAATTGTAACACTGATCTAAATACAAAAACCTGTTTAAAACTGTTACGTTTTACTAATACCTGCCTATTACTAATAATAATTTACTTAGTTTGCTAAGTGGGCATAAAGTATCCGCCTAATAAGTATGTGGAATTCGATATAATTTTAAAGTAGAATACTTTTTTTATACGTAGGTACGCCAGTTTATATGCACTGTTTGCTTTGAAAGATTAGGTATTCATTCATTCAACGATTGAGGAAATCGTATTTTTTACATGAAGCGATAACGCCACTCTGACGTGCAATTTCAGCATCAACCCGGTTGGATTAGTTTCATTGCAGTTTTTGTACGTTAATTGTGTTAGTCGTTGAAAAAAAAGCGGCTTTGATGTGTAACTGACATGTTGAATGAAATATTTTGTGTATTTGTAGCGGTACCCATCTAATTGTTTAACGTGTCAAAATCACAAGTCATAAGGTTTTGTTTGCGTCAAAATGAATTTAGATAAAGTACAATTAATACAAGTGTAGTAATGAATACTTACGATCTTTTCTGTAGGAGTTATGGCAAGCCATATGACAAACCGACGGGAAGCCTTTCAAAGTTTTGGGATCCAGGAAAGTAGAGGAAAGCGGGGCTGCACATATTGGCTCCCTCTTTCCTCTGCAGCCGTCTATACAGAACTCATAAGTATTTTTCTTAGGTTTGCTAGTTTTTCTAGTTCTGGTAGTAGTTGGTCTTTTCGTGGTCGTAGTCTTACTGACAAAATTGACGTTCGTTATTGAACCGCTGGGGGCAAGCACTCTGATTCTTAGAGGTCCTAATTCTGATAACCTCGATGCTGGAAGATTGTTAGTAACGTTATTGCAACCTCTATTAGTTCTTACTGTAGATCTCGTTTGGGCTCGAGTTGTCGATGGGAGTGGAGTGGTTGGTGAGGGTGGCGCAGTACGAGTTGAAGGGAGAGACACCGTCGGGGCTGGTTGAATGATCACTGTTGCTGGTGTTCCAGTGCTAGTACTGGGAGCGGCTGTACTGAATTGAGGTGCTTCTTGTGACGTTCCAGTTGGCAAACCTTGAATAGACTGCGGCGCTTGTTGGTATACCAAAAAGTAGTTAGAGAGAGGTCCTGCTGTGGGTTGTGCCATGTTCTGAGCAGGAGCATTAGTTTGTATAGAGAGCCCTTGAGGAACTAGATCTAGTCGTATTTGTTGCGAAAGTTGCGGAGATATAGATGGCGATTGTGGTTGCGGCAGTGATAAAGTTGTTTGTTGTATCTCTGGTCGGAACGAGATTGTTGACTGGGATGGCGGTATAGTTTCTTTTGTGAACTCTGAAACTATTGGTGGTTGCTGCGTAGTTGATTGTGATGGTAGGAAAGTAGATGACGATGGCAGAAATGGTGATGAGGGTGGTGCAAATGTTGATGATGGCGTTACAAATGTTGTAGAAGAAGGTAAAAATGTTGACGCTGTTGTTTGGTATGAAGTTGGTAGTATAGTTTGCACTGATGAAGGTGGTATCGTATGGAATGTCGGAGGTAGCGGCGTCGAAGACTCTAATGCTGCTGTTGATATTTTTGTAAATTCTGAAGACCCAGTCGTTGAAATTTTCCTTGGCGGTGCTAGCGTTGATAATAATAAGATCTCGTCCGGCACGGAACTGGATTCTTTCGGCAAAACAACAATTGGATTTGTTGTGGAAAATGGCGGTCCGGTTGAAAATATCTCCGAAATTGGTTTAGGTTGGAAGCCATCACTGATCACGTTTGCGGAGTACCAGGATTCTGGTAATGAATCCGATATTTCGGCTCGGCATAGTTGTAACACTGAAATAAAAAGAAAATCTTTTTTAGTCACAAATATTCGCAGAAAAAAATTGTTCCTATTTCTGCTATAATTCCTATGTGATAAAAACCCAGTTGACAAACTTATAGCTTTAATTCAGAACTCGGAACGGTAAAACAGGATAACATCAGCGTAGTAACAGCGAGATAATAAACAAAACGAACATATCCCTGTTGGTTAACGCACATTTGCAACATAAGATCCCGTCGTGTCGGAACCAGTTTTCAAGGACCACATTCGGTATGAACGGACGGAACCCTTTAGTAGTTACATTGAAAAAATAGCATGCTCCATATTACACAATGAACGCATTGTAGGTGAGGCGAAACTTTCACGGTGTTCATTCAACCGTACCTTTACAAACTCTAAAATATAAACGGATACGTATATTTACCTACATACAAATTTTTACTGCTTAATTAGCTTTCAACTGCGGCTTTGTCCTCGCGAATTCAGCTCATATTATTATTCTCTGTACTCTTAACCATACAGTATACCTATGTATAGTCGCGGAAAACCTAACGGATAACCGGGGCTCCGGCTCGACGTGCAGGAGAAGGAACGGGGTAGTTTTTATTCAGTAAGAGTCTGACACTCCCTCCCGCCTCACCCAGGCGGGAACAGTCATTCGATGATTTTCCCCCCTTAAAAAAATATACCTATGTATAAAATTATTGCGTATAAATCAACGACGGAATGTTTATCTAAATAAATAACAAACTGTCCACAACTACTCACGTTGGTCTATATCGTAGTAAAAAAATATGATTGTCTTGATTTGTTACCCATTGTTCTAAGATATGATCGTTTGACAATCACGCGATCTTTTATAGGTTCTTACAAAACTTCTATGTTATCTACAGGGCAATAATATCCTTGGTTAGTATAGAAATAACGATTCGTCCAAGCTCTGCTCAGGCTCACCTTAACGAAACAAAGGAATCGGGTAGTTTACTAAATTTTATTTTAATGTTCATCTGGTACATTAATTTAAAACTTTAGACACATATTTTTTCTTATCTCACAAAGTCAAATACTTTCGACGATATATTAATTTAAAATATCGTGAAATGCATTGCGAAGGGAATATTTCCAACACAGCTTAAAACAACAATCATTAAACCTCTGTTCAAAAAAGGGAATAGACAAATACTAGAAAACTATAGACCGATTGCACTTATACCAATATTTGCTAAAATATTTGAAAAATATCTGTACAGTGAAATGAACACATATTTAGAGAAAAATAATATTCTTTGCAATGAACAAAAAGGTTTTAGAAAAAACAAAACTATAAATATGGCCATTTATGAATTCATAGCCAATGTATTAACTCATGTAGATAAATCGTCTCCAGTATGCTCAATATATTGTGACATGTCACAGGCGTTTGATTATGTGCACCATGGTATACTAGTGGATAAACTTGAAGCCAATGGCATAAGGGGAAATGTTTTGAAATTGGTACAATCTTACTTGACAAACCGAAAACAAGTAACTGAAATAAATAGAATTAATATAAGTACAAAAACTGAGGTAACATACACCTCTACAACACGTGATATATCTTACGGTGTTCCTCAAGGCAGCGTTCTGGGGCCACTCTTATTCATTATTTACATAAATGACTTGCCAAAAACAATAACTCAACCTATGACATTGTTTGCTGACGACAGCACAATTATAATTCCGTGTAATGACATCTACCAATATAATTTAGATATTAACAATTCATTGACATCTGTAATTTCATGGCTTGATAATAATAATTTAAAAATAAATTTGACGAAAACTAGTATAATGCATTTTGGACAAAGATTATGTAATCCACTGAATGTAATTTTAACTCACGACAATTATAATGTGCAAGAAGTAACTGATGCGAAATTTCTTGGTTTAACGATTGATAGCAAATTAAATTGGAAAGAGCACATAACCGCATTAAGTAAAAAAATTAGTAGTTTATCGTATGTCCTGTATAGCCTAGGTCCAATAATTAACATCGAGGCATTGCTTTCAGCATATCACGGTCTTGTCGAGTCTGCTCTGAGATATGGTATAATTTTTTGGGGTAACTCGACAAACAAGGGCATCATATTTAAATTGCAAAAGCGGTGCGTAAGAGCCATGTTCCGTAAACAGAGTTCGGAGAGTTGTAGGCCATTATTTATAACGCATAAAATGCTGACAGTACCATCACTCTATATCTTAGAAGTAGCACTGTTTGTTAGAAGCAACTCTCACTTATTTCCCACTCTGGCTGATAAAGTAAAACGAAATCGACGTGACAACAATCGACTATGTATTCACCCATCTAAAACAGCACTAATGCATAAAAGCGTGATATGTATGGCTCCCATAATTTATAACAAAATTCCTAAAGAAATTATTAAATTAAATTTAAACTTATTCAAACAAGCGTTGAAAAAACTACTAGTTAATAAATGCTATTATAGTGTTCATGACTTTGTAAATGACAAATGTTTGTAATTTTTCTTTGTTGTCCCTGGTCAGGAGGTTTGAGTCTCTTATAGGAATGTTACAATTTAAAAGTTTAATAACTGTTGTAATTGGATTTAATATTATATTCCACATTTGTACACCAGAAATGGTCAAACATGTTGATACTATGCTCACTGCTCATCTGTACAACTTATAATGTGCATTTATGATGTATTATTATTTAACACGTGTTTTTGCAAATAAATAATCTTTGTCTTTGTCTTTGTCTTTGTCTTTGAAACGTCACAGCGTGCGGCATTTTGTAGCACGTTATGACGTAACAACCTCCCACTCATAAACTTAGCGCCATTTTATCTAAGTACAACGTAATACGAGAAAATAAAAAATACGTGTCTAATATTTTTTCATTGTCCAACTGACGGACCATAGATTTATAAATATAACATAGATGTCTGGCTATTGTCTACGGGTAGAATTTAGGATCCATCTTGACGGTAAATTCATAAACATACTGTTGTTTCTTTTTTACTTATGTCTCTTTGCTTATGCAGAAAGAGACAACACATTATTGTCATTCTGGCCATAATTTTTTGACGTCATCAGAAAAACCTAGTTGTGCCGAATTGGCCATCTTAGTCCCTGTTATCAGTGCATGTCAGTGGTACATCAGCTGTCAAAGCATTGGTCAACAATATTTTGTTACGAAAATTTGTAGAATTCCTGTTGTTTTTGTGCGTGGTAAACAAAGAAATTATTGGTTAGTGAGAAGAACTATGCCCGGGTGCAGTGTTATTGGATGTAGCACTAAAAATATTACTAAACCGGCAGGTGTAACATTACATCGGTAAGTACTGTTATTTTTCATTAAAATATCTCTGTTTTTCAAACTATTCAAGTGTGGTTGCTGCAAATTGACTAAATACAATACTTTTCTAACTAATGCAGTGCTTATTTTCATTAATTTTAGTTGAAATACGTCTAAAACAATTTTCATTAAAAAATAGTGATGTACATGATTGTTCCCGTATCGATAATTTTATCGTACATAATAAATGCGTCAAAAGTAGAACAAAGAACTATACTAAATTCTGAATGATAAAGTGCATTAATTTGACATAATGACAAAATACAAAAAACATTAAGTACTCGTCAAAAATTTCATTTTATCGACAAAATTCCACCATCGTCAATACCTACGTAATGTAATAAATAATTAATACAATAGAGAATAATTTTTGTACAATATGAGATAAGGAATAATATTGTGGGAAATGCATTTTTGTCAAAATTGATTTTTTTATCAAATGCCGCTCGACGGATTCAAATGAAACAAACCAATGAAATATAACTTTAGGGTATTTTTAGAGTATTTATTAGAATGTGTCGAACTCTGCCGATAATTTTAATAATATTATAAATTTTCTTTTTAGTTTGTGCTTGAACCACGCAGAAGTTCTTGGCTGGAAATAATTAATGTGGGAAATATAGATACTAGAAGGAAACATATCTTTGTTTGTTAACTTTATTTTGAAGATTAATGTTTTAACCGAACAATAAATTAATAGTAAATCTACGTGATGGGGCCCTATCGCTACAAGCTCTATTGGTAAATCATAATGTAAACGATTCATTATGTGTTTTGTTATATTAGTTTTGGAAGCATTTTTTGAAGAGGTGCAAACTTAACATTTTATTTAACATTTATATTAAGTTCATAACTAACCGGGTTCTTGTACCTATATGTTTCTGTTTTCCTCCGCTATCTATCACTATCATTGTAATGTACAAACATTTTCGTTCAGAGCTTAGTACAGTACCTATAGAATCTATAGAAAAATCTATGTTCAATTGGATCAAGTAAGTTAAATTATACTATTTATGTTGCAGCCTCTAGCCAGATATGTGCATGAAAATGAACTTGGAACCAGTTCTGGAGTCTTCTCGAAAGATGGTTTTGCAGATTACATTACAGGGAAACACTACGAAAAATACGAAGATATTGTATATTATAAATCTTGATTTTATGAATACTTTGATACAGTTTTATTTTTCAACCCTCAAAAATTACTTAACCTTAAGTATATAAATATTGACCAGTTGATGGAAAATCCTTTTCATGAATTTCGATACATAAGTATCGTGAAAGTTATGATGTGAATGTATAGGCACGATCGACTGGAGTGACAGTGCACGCAGCAACTACTAAATATATTTCGCTAATATGTTGGTAATGTTTAGCAGCTAGATAAAAATTAAATCCAGATGAATCATAAAATAATGATATTTTATTGATAAGTCAATTAAAACCAATTCTAAAATATCGATATTTCTACAGTTTTAAAAGTTACATCCCTAGTTCTATCCGCCATTACAGGTGACCAAGTGAAGTTTATGTAGGCACGATTTTTTCCTAGTTGTTTCTTATCCATACTCTTATCATATCAGTGTGACGGACTAATTAGATTTTTAATTTTGATACCCCGGAAACTACTTAATTATCCAACTTGGTGCACTCATA